GATGGAGGGGCAGCCCCTGACGTCACGGTAGCCCCCTTACCCCTCTCCACGTAAACAACGGTCTAACCCCCTCCGGCGCCGGCATCCCTTTGGGCGCCATACGGGGGTTATATCTCTCTCATCCGTATATGGGAATCTCAAGGAAGGAAAAATAGAGATAGGAAAATTCCACAAATAAAGATTGTGGCATTTGTGGAGTTGGGCAGAGTGACTTCTAATTTTCAATACCCTATTCACATCTTACGAAGGTGGAATGTGATAAATTTCCATACTGAGCATCGAACGGCTGAAAACAACACTGGTTTTCCTCAAGGTCGTTAAGATTATTTCGGTTAAGAATGTTTCGGTCTGTGGCTGCGTTGTGGATCGTAAGCCACAATATAACAAAAAAGACCGACCCTAGGGTTCGCGTCTGACATACTATTAATATTAATAATATATAGGGTAATAAAAAAAACGCTCTATCATTTTCTATTGGAGAAACACTGTTTCATAAATACAAAAAAATGTGCACTGGATACGCGATCGATAATTGACAGCCACAAGTTGCTAAAATGCATCCCAGGTTTATCAGCACCCCTGTCTAAATTGTGCAATGCCCATTTAGAGATGAATTAAAGGTGCTTACAGGTGGATCATTTCACCTTAAGTGAGGTAGTGACCTGTACTCGACCGTCTCAGAATTCAATGGATATTTCAAATTTAACTTTTCAAGGGACAGCTGGCTGATATTTGACAAAGAGGTTCATTAGGGTTTTTTATCCGTAAGATGGCACTGTATGCTGATACAGTGCGCTTTTGTTGGCCGGAGGGCCCCCTGTCTTTGCCCTCTTTTTACTTCTGGAAGAAAACACATAGGATCTCTTTGTGCCTGTGAACCTTACATGAGCCTCTATGTCAAATATCAGTCGTAGCTGAGAACCCTATACAAAATATTGTCTTGAAGCCAATTTAAAAATATATTAATTTAATCCAAATCAGTCTCAGGCCAAAACTGTGTAGTCGTTTGAATTCGACTCAACAAATGGCCATCTAGCGGCAACTTTGGCAGTGACTTTTGGCCAAACTATGGGTCGGAGGTGACTGTGCGACCCCTCTTTGCACTTCCCTAGGGACCCCCTACAACAATTACTTTTCAGATTTCGAATCCCAGACGGTCGATTTTTCCTCCCCTACTACCTTAAATGGCAGACGCCATGATGGTAGAGTGACGGGCCCCCACGAGTAGATTGTGATTGGTCGGTGTTCATTGCAGGCCTGTGGTTGGGATACGCCTGTCTATTCACCGTCTTAAGGCAAGGACGACAGACTGGGTAGAGTTTGTTAAGCTCCAGATATGGCAGCAACAGTAGCAGCTCACTCTGGCGCCGGTGTTGCAGAAAATAGGAGGGAGAAAGCCCTCCAAGATTATCGGAAGAAGCTCCTTGAACACAAAGAAGTGGAGAGCAGATTGCGAGAAAGTGAGTTATACCTGACGCTACGCATGTTCCGCTTGCAGTTAACCAAACCTGTACTTGCCGAAAGGCCAGAGCTAGTCGTCATTTTTATCTTTAGACGATTTCTGTTGAGCATTAGCTTCACTATTCATGGACTTCTGTTCTTTGCTCGGTAGGAATTAATCCGGGATCCGCACCGTGACACATCTATTCATAGTTTTGCGTCAGCGTCCACATATCCTGTAGACCTATATCGAAATTTCAATGCAAAAAGCATAATCGGAGGCCTACAGTGTTTTGACGTTCACCCACGTATTCTTTTTCCGGATGGTGTCGCTAACGTTGTTTGAGAAACATCTAATTACCAAAATCATAATATATATAGAGGTATGTACTGTTGAGTTAAGCCTATGGGGAAACACCCCTTCCAGAGCCTGGGAACTGTTGTTTCACAAATTTCTGAAATACCCCAGAGAAAAGTATCAAGTGTTATGAATGGGGATAAAATTCAGTCGGAAAACAGGAATGAGGAAAGCCAGTCATTTGCAAGTTTTCTCTGCTTTCTGGTCCATCCACCCTCACATCTTTCCCTCAGTATGCTTGTAGTGTGTGATTTTGGCATCTTAGATTCATATGCAAAACATGAAAAAAGCAGGAATAGGACCCTATCTGCACTGTAAGGTGTTCCAGTGGATGTTGGAGAGGTGTACTGATCTTGGAAGACATACTGGGTAAGGTAAGGCAAAAAAAAAGGGCAGTCTTTCGAAAATGTGTGGTACCCCCGAGGCAGCAGCTATCTCAATGAAGTTTCTTTCTTAAAGATGTTTATGCAATCTTTGAGCATCCTAAAATTTGACTTAGTTAAAACAGTTAAAAGATAATTTAGCCATTTTATCACACATTTGATCTTGCAAAAGCTACTGGGATTTTATATTTTTGCTTGCACCTGGATTATAATCTTTACAAGGGATTACCTCTTCACCATAAAATAGTTTCCTTCATTTCTGGCTAGTTTTATTCTTCTGTTCCTTCTCTTCCTCTCAGGTAAACCCATTTCTCACAGCTTGTAAATTGGGCTCTTAACAATAGACCTACATTACTTTCATCCCTTATCAGGAAATTCTTTCAAAATTCTTCCCCCATCCCAATTTTTTTCTGCAAAGAACTTTTTTCATGGATAGACCAAGGAACTCTGGCTCAAGAATGAAGCACTCAAAGCCTACCAATCATTCCCCCACCTTTACCTTTCCTCATGCAAAAGTAAAGTTCAAGTTGCCTTTGGATTATCACTCATGAGCTGAAACAGCTGGAGAAAAATGAACAAAAATATTTTAGAACATTTAAAGGATATATAGAAGTTTTGTAAAAAAAAATTTACTGAACTACTGCTATTTTGTGAACTCCAAAGAATCTCAAAGACCAGTGCATAGTTTTGCCAGTATTGCTTGCCCTTCCATAGCTACTCTTGATTCTTTAACTCTGATACATTTACTATGCATACTTGGATATGACCACCGTGCTTGTGATAGAGACATTATTTTGGTAACAATATGGAAGTTTCTGTAGAGCAGGAATGTGAACATGTAGTGTAACATGGGTCGTAGATGTTTGCATGAATGGGCAACACCCCATGGAAGTACAATGTCACATGAATTAATATCTATGATACTGTAACTTCAGTTCTATGAGTAAGAAATGATGAAGAAGATTTCTGTTTTTGGCTGTATGCTTATGTTGTAGAGTCAAACACCTTGGAAAATGCCAAGAGATCATGCATTGAGAAGAGGTGTCATTCATTTGGACTGTAGGGCTAATTGCTTGTGGCATTTTTATCCAGAATTTTTAGTTTCCTGCATGCCATTTCTATGTAGCATTTTTGCCAAGCTGAGGGGAATAATCCTACAAATCCATTTATTTTTAAAATTTTATCTTTTATGAAAATTTTCAACAGTTGCTGTGGTAAAGCAACTAGAATCTTGTAGTAAAATTTGATTCTAAGAAAGATTACTGATTTGTAACCAATCAATTTCAAGGGTGATTATTAAAAACATGTAAATGGGTAAGATATCCATATGCATCTTCCTCATGTTTAAGTAGGGGAATTATGGACACTGTAAGCACTTGGAACCTAAACACCTGAGCTACAATGCCTATTCACTGAAGATATCCTCCATCATAAATTACTATTAACTGCCAGTGTGGCTGTGATAAATGTATAGAATGTATAGAAGTAATGTGAGAAATAAGTAGTGTTATGAGTTTAAAATTTTACTGTTGTGGATTCAAAAGTTTATGCCATTTCCTGAAACAAAACATTTCCCACATTCGTTCCAGACTTAGTGGACACCCTGTTGAACAAAATCATTATCCAAATGCTAGAAGTTCCCACTTGAACAAAATTGTGCAATAGACCAGAAAGATTATTGTTTATATTAGGGTTGGGTTTCAAACAAGATGCTTGGCAAGATCTTGAATTTAGTTTCTTGCCAAGTATCAATAAGATGCCCTGTAAAGATGCCCTCTACCCTTTATGCACATCAAGTGTCAGATATTGATTTTTTTGTTAGATTTTTTCTCCCCTCAGGGCTGTTTCCAGGGGTGGGTGATCACCTGGGGCACCAGTGGAGTAAGGGAGGGGGGGGGTGCCAATGGAACTCCTTGCCCTGGATGCCAACATGCCTAGAAATGGCCTTGTCTCCCCTCATTTTACTTGGTTGTGACATAGTTGTCATCTTGACAAAATCTTGCTTTTTTCTTGCCAAGATTTTTTCTTATCGAGCCAAACCCTAATTTATATATACAGGGTGGCCCAAAAAAGGGCACTCTTTCCAACATGCATTTTTGGCGTGATCCGGTCGAGGGTATTTTTCCTGGTTACATGTAATGGAGAGGAGAAAGACTCAGCTGCAAAATGCTTTTTTTCAGACTTTAAATATCTTGAAAAATATGTTTGAATTTTGGATACGAAAAATTGGCGTTGTGCTCACCGACCGCATACAGAGGTAGACATGTTCAATCATCCTTGTGATGTCCGCTGAGGTCAGCGTTTACCTTCCCCTTTTTGTGAATGTCAGGATGTCAAGTGGATGTTGGGTCAAGTTGGTGAGCACAATACTGATATTTCATTATTGTAATTCAATCATTTTTTTCTAAGTCCTTTAACAAATTTCAAGTCTGTAAAAGCATTTTGTAGCCAAGTCTTTCATCTCTCCATTACATGTAACCGGAATAAATATCCTTGAAAACATCACACCTAAAATGCACATTGAAAAGAGTGCCATTTTTTGGGCCACACTGTATGTTAGTTTAGGAATACAGGAAGTAACAGCAAGTACATTACAGACCAAAAAGATGGGCCAAGGCTAACATTTATCAGGGGAGAGAGGACTATCAAAGGAGAATGTATATTCAGGGAGCAAAGCTAACTGCCCTCCAGCCTCTCCTTGGTGAACCTCAACTTGTGGGTATCATATTGACAAAAATAGAGGCATTAGGACGATTGGTTGTTCCCTCTTCCCTAATCGATCAAAAATGGAAGAACTGGAGTTCTCATTATGTGACTCATGAGTGACATTCACTCTTTTGTGGCTTCTATAAGCTGAACCTCTTGGGTTCTAACTTTAGAACTTATATTACATTTAGAAATTACATGCTTTAGCATGTAATTTCTCTGGTTTGCCTTATTCACTCTGTCACATTTTGCCATTTTGTGCAGATGGGATTGTACACTGGGAGATATAAAGGAAATGTGTCTTGGATAATTTCTTGTAACTTGATATATTCAGAAAATGTTGAATTTTCATGACACTTAATGTTTCAATATTAAGAATGGCAATTGAACCTCACAAGGCCGTATTAAGGGTTTTGTTCATTATTCATTGGGTTCAACCCCCCCCCCCCCCCGAAATTTCTTCCTTAAATTTTTGCCATACCGCTATTCGTCGTTGTAAACAGTGCAGTACTTGGTCTTTTCTATCTTTAATAGCTTATGATTTATTAAACACTGCAACTTACAGGAAAATCCAGATATGTCAAAAAGACCTGCAATGACAAGCATAAAAAATAGCCCCAGGGCGTACGCCAGACCTCATCCCCCCCCCCCCTCCCTGAAATGAAATCCTAGATACAGGCCTGGAACCTCATGTTTGAGTTGGCAGAAACCCTTTGTAAATCCTTCACTTCTCTTCTTCACACTTTATAAATTGCTTGGGAGAAGGAAGACATTGAAGAGACCTAAGGTAGACAGTATCCCCCATTGGTAGGCCTCAAATGGTAGAGTATGAATTTTAGTTATTTATATATATTTTTTTCCAGTGAGGGAGCAGCTGAAGGATCTCAACAAGCAATATGAGAAGTCTGAGAATGACCTGAAGGCATTGCAGAGTGTTGGCCAGGTTTGTTTGCCTTGTTTTTTTTAACTGGAGGGGGAGCACCAAAACTATTCTATCCTTTGCTCATTACTTCAAGATGTGTCACCATTTATGTATAACTATTGTGTCTATAATTCATGAAACATATTAGATTGAGTCCTTTAACATTAAAATCTCAAATTCAACTTTCTTAACTGTCAGAAATCAAAATGATCTAGAAAATGTTGAATCCAAGTGCTGAATGATATCAGGGTTCTAACCAAGAAAATGTCCAAATTCATTGATGGGCAGCCATCCAGTTATTAAAAAAAATAGAATTAGGATGTCTAAGGGCCTGTCATGCTGGCAGCTCCTTAGGTAAAATTCTTGCTTTATTAATATTAATTTTTTGTGTGTGGACCTGGTGTCTCCCTTAGTGCCACTACTTTATTGTAGTAGCACCAAGATTCTACTTCGGTAGGGCACTTCCTGTGGTCATGTTTCTTGTCTGTTTACCAGCTGTGGTAGAGAATGGTGTAAATGGCAGTTTTGATTTTCTCTTTGTTGCCAGCATTATTCAGTATCACATTTCTGTTGTCTTGTTATTTTGGTAATTCAGGGTGCTGTGGGATCTTCCTCTGAGGGTGCAACCATTTTTCTCTTCATATTCCACCAGATTCCTGAAAGCAGTTCCCATTCTTTTGCCACATGGTTGATACATTCCTCTTTCTCCAGTTGAACATTGTCTCCATAGACCTTCAACTGTTGCAGTTGTGGAAAAGTTTTACAGTCTTCGTCACTGAGAATAGTCTTGTATTGGAAACAAAGTTTTTCTTACCTCTGCCACAGTCTGTGAGCACCTGTCATCTCCATCACTTGAGATGAATCCCTGTAGTCTGCTTTACAGTGAGACTTGTGGCCATCTTTCCAAGTAAAATATTCTGGGCTATCTGAACCCAAGTCTTTCTTACTGATGGCACATTTCTGGCAGTATTTAGATAATACTTCAAAATTGACAGCAAATCCAGTGATCACATCTATTAAAAAATTGATCACACAGTTCAAACTGTACTCCCTCTGGGCCAAGTTCCATCGAAGCTGACTGTAATGTCAATTACATCTTTGACAGCCATTTGAAAAATGTGTGCAAGGCTGCTGTTGAAAGTGGAGAAAACGTGTGCAAAGGGCCAGAAAAGAAGTGTGACAGGCCTATATTGAGTTGGACCCACTACTAATTGACAAATGTGGAATGTACCATGGGTTTTGTTGCCGTAGAAAATTACTCCAGAGCAGCATAGCCTTTCCCCGTATCATTGAATGCTTTTACAATTCATACTTGAACTAGGTGTACCTTGTTCAGGACAGTTCTGCAATCCTGAGGGGCCAGATAATTTTTCTACACTATCACTATTTACTACAACTGGCTGGCTATGACCACAGGTTCAGGATTCTGGAATTTTGAAACAAAGTTTTATTTGATACCTTGTTCTTCCATTGTGTCTTTCTTCCTCCTCTTGGCATTCATTTCTTTCATCTATTGTGGAAGTCTTCTTGTGTTCTTCCTTATCCCTCCTATGTTGTTCTGAGTCAATGTTACTCCCTGAAGTTGGGCAAAATAATTTGCCCAAGCACAAAAACTCACTGGTAATTTCTTTGTACACCAAATTAATGCTGCAAAATGAAACTAAGGAAGCCAAGAAACAAAATGATGATATTAATAATAATAAATAATAAATAAATAAATAAATAAAAATATATATATACAATTTCCTACCAAAATACATGCTCAGAGGATTTCCTTTGTCACAAAATACAGGGTGTCCCATAAGTCACCATACCATTTCAAAAAATCACATTTGCTTAACAGTTGATGCTAAAAAGAAGTACCATAGTAACATTAACTGAAAGATAGCATATCATTTGAAATTGTCTTTGTAAAAAAAGGAAATATTTATGAGTTTTGAAAATGCCTCAAAATGCCTTCTTCCTATATCAATAATACATTTGGCTTGAGGCCAGAACTCCCTTTGAACTCTGATGGGACTCTCAAAGACCTCCATCCAGGTTGCAACTTTTCTTCATTGCTCCAGTGTCTATTGTAAAGCCTTTTCCCATCACAATGAAAGCAAATTGCATGAAATTATATATTTTTCTGTTTCTCAGGTATATCTGAAATTAGGAGAGAAAACAAAAAGTTTAGCTTAGTTTAGTTTAGCAATTTTATAGAAGAGGATTCAACAAGGTGTACCATAAATGTCCCTAAACAAGTACACCTTTCTAATATCCAATTGAGTCTGATTCCAAGTCCTTATCATGAAAAAAATTATAAAGAACGTTTTTTCCATCAATAGCAACAACAGTGACCTGCATGTTGTAATTTGGAAAATATTGCAGTTTGAAATGGTATAGTGCCTTATGGGACACCCTGTACAATGCTCACCCATGTGAAAATGTCATTCATAGAAAATCATATATATATTGGCCATATATTTAGCCAGTCTGATATATATTGGACATGTATGAATATATAGTGCAATTCAGATATGAACATATATAAAACATATGGGATGTGACACATGTCACAATAAATCATATAAGAATGAAAGCTCATACTTTTGCACCATACATATGTTATTATTTTCATATATGAAGGTAAACATGTCTCCTTATGGTGAGTGCACCTGTAACATACCTGTATCCTTGAAGGGTCCATAATCCATAAAGTACTGTACTATCATCACTAGTCACTATACTTTACTTATTCTTCTTGCAATTATCTCATTTTTAATTGTTCATAGACCATAGTCAATTACTCCTAGAACTCATGTTTCATGGTGTTCAACATATGCATGCTTGTTACTGAAGGTGAAAATTTCAATAAAATATGACAGGGTTTTTCAAAAGTCACTTCCACTGTTTAGATGACTGCCCCCAGGAAACCAATGGGCACCACATTATGAAACTTGGTGTGTAGACCAATATTTGACCATGCAGAAGAAAACATGCACAGTCATGTGGTGGTTTATGATGGCATCATGGTCATACTAGATGGTACGAGGGTCACTCAATAAGTTATTTAAGCCTATTCCATGTATGTGTACAGCTTCCTCATATCACCACCATCACACTTAAAAAAAAAGATGTCCAACTAAGGATTGCTTCTTTGGTGAGATATCTTTGAATATGCCTTCACAAGTTATTCTATTCCTCTGTTTATAATTATACTATATTTCTGAATGTTTTTGCATGTCTGTCTGTCCTTTATACACAGCCATGCCTCTGATCCCAGTTCAACCAAACTTTCCATGATTTCCTTATTTGGTCTGGAGGTAGTCATAGGCTAGGTGGTGTTTCAAAATTTGGACTCCACAGGGCAGGGCCAGCCTTAGACCAAATGGTGCCCCAGGCAAGGAGTGTCTTCCCCCCCCCCCCCCCCCCCCCTGCCCCAGGCGGTTGTCTGGGTCACCTGCCCCTAAATCTGGCCCTGCCCTGGGGTACCGTATTTAGTGCAGACAAATATGAGACCTATACTATATTCACCCATGCAGTGCTGGGTACCTCTGCTAGTGATTAATAAATATGATAAATCATCATAATTCAATCTCAGTTTTGTACTAGAGGATATTGGATGATTGGTTCCTCTGATTTGAACATTTATTGCGAATTGTGATCTTACAAGGTGAAACCCTGGTGCCATGTGAGTCCAAGTTTCCCAATGATTGCATTTGACTTCATTCCAGATTGTTGGAGAGGTGTTAAAACAGCTGACTGAAGAGAAATGTGAGTTTTTTTTCTTCTCTATAGTGAAACATGAATTGACTCATTATGCTTCTCTAGGAGAATGCACAATAGTGTCACGGTGCATGCTGCTGTTGTGCCATTCCAGTAGCACAAATTCTTTGCTCATTTACAGTTATTGTGAAATCCACAAATGGGCCACGATACGTAGTAGGCTGTCGGAGGCAGCTGGATAAGAAGAAGCTCCGACAAGGGACCCGTGTTGCATTGGATATGACTACCCTTACCATCATGCGATATTTGCCTCGAGAAGTGGATCCGCTTGTGTACAACATGTCTCATGAGGACCCTGGAAATGTGTCCTATTCTGCCATAGGAGGCCTGAGTGAACAGATCAGGGAATTGAGAGAGGTGAGTCAGATTTCATGATTATGAGAATCATCATGTTTTTATAGAGGGCTAGGAAGATGGAGTTGATGGGATGTCAGATTGGTTCATTTATTTTCAAAAGTTGTTTTTAAATATACTTCAAGAACATATTCCCTTCCTGCCATGTTAGAAATGATATGGAACTAGTAATAGTAGCTGACTAAGCAGCTATAATGCCTTTTTCATAATCTTTTCCCTTACCTTTCCCCTTTTATTTACAATGCAATATATTTTTCTTAGCAGTGTGAAAAATCTATACATTTTAAGTAGGACTGTACTGATGGCTGCATTTGGCCATTGGGCCAATGGCCAATTTTCATCTCATATTCATTGGCTAGTGCCAGAAGTGATTGTGGTCTGAAAATTAAGAAGTAATTAGCATTAAATTACATATTGACCTTTATTGTACCACATTTAAATGCCTGTGTTACTTCATGGCTGGTATTTAACTGCAGGTATTTAAATGTGAAGTGCACACTCAGCACAGACAACAATGGAAAAGAATAACATTATACAAAAAGGGTCGTTCAAGGTATACTGCTTAGAAGGGTGTCCAAAGTGTGTGTGGCCACTTTAGTGACCATTAAGGGGGTCTGGCTATACATTTAGCAGTAAGTATACTTACCTTTTGGTCTATAAAGGTTAATTCAAATTGGCCTATTCAGAAGTCATGAGATACTTGTCAGTGGGCCTGCTAAAAACAATAGAGACTACTTTTAGTACTGTCTGTTATTTTACTGTCTGGCTGTATCCATCAGTGGTTAGCTTGTTACCTATTGCTGCTGTTAAGAGTGTTTAATGACACATCTCTAGTTAAAGCATAACATAATAGGAGGTGCAATGATTACCTGTTTTTTTTTTCTGCTATTTTCCCCCTTTGGTTTCTAGAATAGGGCTGAAATATAATCAGATTGATATATTTCATATTCACTTCCGCACTTTATTTTTTTTTCAAGTTTTTCCCATCTTTTGGGTATTGGCATTGGCAGCTTGCAAATCGGCCAATGGTGCCAATAGTGCATCACCTGCAGCTGATACTGGTAGTTACTGATAAATCAATACAGCCCTAATTTTAAGTGATCTTGACAAGTGCATATTTGTGTTTATAAATTTTGTAGTGTTTCAATTAAAGCTTGAAAAAATGTATATTGTGTTTATAAATGCTGTAAGCATCTAAATTTGTAAAGAAAGAAAAATCTTAATTTGTTTCCAAATCTACAATTTAAAAAATGTTTATTACAATAAAGTGCCAGTTGAAGGGTTAGTATTTGTTTAAGTATGGCAATTTAAGGAAATAAAAAGAGAAATCTAGTCTTCATGATATTCATTGTCAAAGTTCAAAAACATGGGTGTGCTCCTCTAATGGGAAAATTAGTTGATGCAAGAAAAGAAAGGAAAATTGACTGGGGCTTAACTATTTGGAGGGTGGTGATCCCTGAATGTAAACAGCTTTTTATGATATTTTTAGTGCTTGTTACATGGTGGTTAAATGTGGTAAGCACCAAATATGACACAGCACATAGTTCCTCCTTCACACATGCAATAGCACTGGCCTACAGGAATGATAATGCTGCATGAAGTTTTTGCTGAGGGTCCATCCAGAAGCATGTTTATATTAAAAAGCTTTGGGACCCTATATCCTGGAAAGTATGAGTGAGTATGTATTTTTAAAAAAGCTGTAATTTTTTTTATTCATTGGGACAACCCTCCATGCCAAATTTAACCCTTTCCACTCCATTTTTTCTGCAATGCTACAGCTGATGGTGAGCCCAGCTTGACAAATGAGTGGAAAGGGTTAGAGTAAATAAATGGGACCCACAGATTATTATTGTGCATTTCACTTGATCTAAGAAATTGACAAATAAAAAAAAATACTTTTTCCCCCTTTGTCCTTTACTCTCCCCATAAATTCCTATATCCTATCAATTTTGCTAGTGTTTTCAGATTCAAAATTCATTCATGCATGACAGAGATCATGTAGAAAGGATGGAAGTTTGCTCATTTTTCTTGGCTGTTCATTTCTTAAATTGCTTGAGACAAACAATAGACATTATACTTAAAGTGTAACAACCAAATTGTGATTTCCCTGTTCTGGAAAATGAGTAATAGTGATATCAGACATTCTTTGGTTGTGGGATAGGCTTTTGCAATGTTTTGTTGCAACAGATGTAATACTGTATGGTTATGGTCTTTTTTAATTGTAATTGTAAATTTTCCCTGCTTTTGGAATGGAGAATTCAGAAAGGCTGCATCTAGAATACTACCTCTCATGGATTGCAAGTTGACATGTTGGTAATTACTGGGTGATCATAAATTAAGTATCCTGCTTAGGGATGCTTTGTGTCTATACTAGACAGTGTATGATGGTGCCATTGCACAGCCATGACAGATGTCACAGGGTATTGCAGCTCTTATGAAGTCTTGCCACTGCGTCACCTCCAATGGATAATTTGCATGTTATCCAGAAATACTATGGAAAAAACCATATATAGGGTGATTTAAAAGAAACGCTCTACTGTTTTCTATGGGAAAAACACAGTTTCATAAATTCAGCAAAAAAAAATTGCATTGGGTATGCGATCAATATTTGACAGTCACAAGGTGTTGAAATGCTTGCCAGTTTTTTTTAAGCACCTCTGCCTTAATTGTGTTGTGCCCATTTATAAGTGAATTGAAGGTGTTTAGAGGTGGGTCTTTCCACTGCAAGTGGGGTGCTCAACCAGTGCTCAACTGTCTCAGAATTCAATGAACTTTTCTTTAACTTTAACTAGAAAAGGGACAGTTTCTTTCTAGGGACAGTTCAACAAGTCATCTGCAATGACTTGTTGGAATGAATTTGTTGCCAAGTATTTCAAAGCAACAAGAACTCTTTGAATTGGCAACAATGTGCTGCCTCGACTTGCTTCTTGGAGAGCAGAGCCACAAATATCTGCAATTTGTAGAACAGCCTGCTTGGAAAATGGAAACCTCTTCAAGAACTCTTCCTCATTGTAGAAGAGAAACACATCCATCTTATCATATATGATTCGACGAGGAATCCTTTCATGTAACTTCAACCAGATTTTCAGGCTCATTGTTATCTCAGTATATAAGAATTACCTGTTAGAAACTGAGAAGAAAACGATTTGTAAAGTTAACTCCAATGAGGAAATCGTGACAAATGAATTCATTCAAGTAATCCTGAATCTACGAATAAGTTGAGTAAAAACATCAGCCTGTAAGGCAACACTGACTCAGCATTGCAAAATTATTGAAGTTTCAATATCTGTCATATTGCATCAGTGTTTCTCAACATTGGTGCAATACGACAGGGGCACTCATGAAATTATGAAAAACTACAAGGGCATGATCTGTTAAACAGGTAAAATAATTCTTCTAAACCGTTTTCAGTAACAAATGCAAAACCTCGAGAAGAGAACTGAAGAGGCATTTCTGCTCCCTGAAGAGTGCAGCAAACTCGCAGGAGTCTGCGAGCTGAAGGGCAGCTGAAGGCTCTCCTACCTTCTTTCCAATTTCTTTTATCTCTCGGGCGCATTTAGGGATTCCCTAGCTAAGGGAATAACGTGAATACGGTACCTCTAGGGGACCCCTATTTTCCAGCCTTTCCAGGCATCATCTCTTAGGGAACCCTTAGCTAGGGGTCCCGTAACTCTTAAGGGATCCCTTAGCTAAGGGAGTGATGTGAATACAGCCCATAGTCCTGTAGCATAGATCACATTACTCACTTACTCACTCTCCCACCACTTTTTTCTGGCAGATCCTTATTTTCTTTAAATCTTTCATGATGGTGAGCAGCCTCCCTTAAAGTTAAATCTTTTTTATCTTACTCTTTTACTTCAACAGTAACAACCCTAAATCCCAACACACATGAGTAATAGTATACCTTATGTACCTGTCGCATTTGATTTTCCTTATGTCAAACATGCTTTCCCTAAAATCCTTCACCCATCACAGTGAGACACTTGAACAAGAAATCCTCTAAAATGCTAGGCCAAACCTGTGCAAAGTTAGATTATTGTTACCATGTGAACAAAAAAGTGAAGTCTGAGTAATAATAATTTTCTCTGGGATAGCACAATCTATTTTTGAGGCCATAGTCTCTATAACAAAAAAAAGAAGTATTATTCTGTTTCATTCTAAAAGGTGTATGTCATATCTTGCTTGCAGGTGATTGAGCTGCCCCTACTGAACCCAGAGCTTTTCCAGAGAGTTGGAATCACACCACCAAAAGGATGTCTTCTCTTTGGGCCTCCTGGAACTGGAAAAACACTCCTGGCAAGAGCAGTTGCATCACAGCTTGATGCCAATTTCCTCAAGGTACCTTATTAAAGTTAATATGTCACTTTCAGAAGAAACTTGATCCTCAAGTCTTGGAGATTTGAGGATCAAGTTTCAGTGCATGCAGCCACCATTTGGTTGCTTGTTTTGCTTGCTTTTTCATCTGAAGTGAGGATTTATCTTCATGAACTTGAAAGTGGATAACATAGATTCATTGTGTTCATTTTAGAAAATTTGCATCCTAAAGGTTTTGCAGAGGCCTATGTGTTTCTCTGCCAGCAGTCTCTTTCCTCCACTTGAAAATATCAAAGTGTGTGGTTCAGAAGTGTGGAGAAACATGGAAAACCTGCAGAGATGTGATTTAAGCAGGCATATATATTGCCTCTGAAGAATACCTCTGCAAAGTTGATGGGAAAAGTGGGGTCACCCATCATTGGAAAGGAATTCAGGGAAACTGAAAATGATAGAGACTTGTTAAACTGTAAATCACAGACATTTCCTTTTAGAAATTTCTATAAGGGATTTTGTATTGATGCTCACCATATTGAAATGCAGCATTTCTGCTGAATCGTGAAAAAAAAGTGTACCACATGAATGACAGTCTTTTCTTGTGGTTGCTCTTGTAGTGAGGTAACTTACCTGTATCAGTTTCCATTTTGATTCATTTCTGCACCCAAACTTTGAGAATTCAAGGTATGAGCTTCCAATGTCTTCTCATTCTTTGAGATTTTTACAATCAGTGTCATATTTCATGTTGGATCAAAGATGCAGCCATTCTTATGCATTATCCAAGTTTCAGCAATGACAAGATGACCATTTCTGGCAACCTGCATGCCAAATTTAAAGCTGCTCAAATGAAGAGACAGAGGAAGAACTGTCACAGGCACTGAGCTATGGCTTTTCTGAACTGCATTTATTTGGCCAAAAAGGAATTGGCCCTGATCTTTGTTGGACATGAGTTTGCCTACAGATCCAGGGAGTTTTTCTTCTTCTTGGAACTGCTAGTAAACTTAGGACTACACCCATTATTACAGCCTACATCTATGATAACCATGTCATCGGGCTGTCAGCCTACCTTAGCATGAAGTTTTAATTAAGAACTGGCGGATGCAGTTCATTACACGTCCAGCAACTGGATCCAATATTAGGTCTCCATCTTCCAATAACTCACTTTACATTTTTAGACCTGAATAGGCAGGCCCCATGCCATTTTAGGTAGATAGCAGCCTCCAATGAGATCCACAAGTTTGAAAGACCAAAGGAGAACTCTTCTCAAAAATTGCTTTTTATTTTATATCTTATTGCAGTGCAAAAATGTGTAATGTGGTGGTAATGTTTGTCTATTGCTCCAAATATGAGGGTTGTCCTTTGAATTTTGAATTTGACAACACTATGTTCATTTGAGGCATTTGTGAACTGATAATGGTAGCTGATGCAAGCTCTTAAAATCATTACTTGTGAAAAGTTTAAGTTGTGTCTTTTTGTGAGTCAGAAGCATTTACTTTGACATCTGCTATAAATACAGTGAAAACTCGTTAACTCGAATTTTTAGGGACCGGGCAAATCGTTTCGAGTTATCCGAAGTTCGAGTTAAGGGTTCCGCCGGGACCAAGCATTGAACTTCGAGATAAGCAGAATTTCGACTTATCAGGATTCGAGTTAACGAGTTTTCACTGTAATATTTTCCCTTTGATTCAGGTCATCCATTCAAGAGAGAACAGTCAGAAAGTCCAGCCAATTGCACAACAAATGGACATGAATATGTTTAAATTCTCCTAAATATGGGGAGAAAACAATATCTGTCAATAAGGACAAAAAAGATCAGAAGAGTCATTTGACTATAGCCACTCTTGACTTTTGTCATGCAAGGAGTACTTAGTTCCCCCTTCCAGAACTGAAACAGAGTCATTGCCTCTTAAGGAAGATCTGACAGTTGGTAATCTGATTATATTTATTGCATTTGGTTGAAGGACTCAGACAGAAGCAACAATTTCTCCCTGCAATGGATGACATGGTTGCATTTCAAGGTATCAAGGTAGTTTAGTGGTATCAAGAGGCAATAACACCCATTTGGATACCATTTGTTGAGACATTTGACTTCATTTACCATTTTAGCACTCATGCTTGTCCCTTAGGAGTAAGTTTTCTCTCTTAGCAAGCATATGAATGGATGTATGTGATGGAGGTTTTTTTCTGGAAATCAAGGAAAGGTGCATGGTTAAAAACTCTCAGGCATGGGATGTCTACAAGCGACACAATGGCTGAGATGAAAGCTTTATATGGCAGTAATTGTTCATTGCATTTCTGAATCCAATCGGCAGAGTTCCATGTGAAAACATCCTTTGTTGCCATCTCTGATGAGATATAATGTCACATCATCTATTGGCAAGGTGATGGGTTTGTTGTCCTTGGACATTTGGAGCCTTTTGCTGGCACAATTTAAATTTCAACAGAAACCAAAATTGCTGGTGCAATGTATGTAGACATTCATAGCAAAACCATGCTGAGCACTACAATGCAGGAATGCAGGAGGCCTTAACTCTTGCAAGAGGTGTGGTCCCTGCATCATGTTGCTTGCCCATGTATTGCTAGAATCGTGTAAGATGCTATAGCTACAGTTGATGATAAAATCACACCACATTCTGCTTATTCTCCAGGTCTGGCCCTATTTGGCTTCTATTATTTCTCAGATAAAAGGTCAAGCTAAGAAGGTCCCAATACAGGACTAATATGGAGCTTAAAGCAGCTTTGACGAAGGAGATTGGTTCACCAAGGAAAGTAGCTTGCAAAAAAGCACATCATGCTTATTGCATCCAGGGAGATTTCTATCATCAGAAATCTCATCATTATATGAGATATGTGATTATATCTGATACCTCCTCACCAGATTTCTAATGTGCAGACTAATGGGATCCACAGGGTGGGCTGTAAGTCCAGATACCCCTTGATAATTTATACAGGGTAGTGCACAAAAATGTTTCACATTTCATTAACCTGTATTTTCATTATTTATTAAGTTAGAAAATTAAATGACATCATATGGTAGACAAACTCAAAAAGTTTTTCATGTTGAAGGAGTGGTTTGAAGTTTTCACCGTTCCTTTGGATAATTTGTCTATAACATACAGCAATGTTTTGAGTGTCTTTTGTGTTATGCCTCCAAACCCTGTCACCAAAGAGCATTTGAGTTCATTAAAGGTGTGTGCATTTGTGAGAACACCTTTTCTTTAAGGAACCCCACTTTAAAAAAATCTGGCAGTCTGGAGATGGTGCTAGCCACAAGATGTCCCTTCTCATATTCATAATGCTTTCTCTTCAAACTTATCTATGATATTCTTAATAGTTGGATTTGATGTTTATCAGGAAGCCGTCGTCTACATTCTCTCTTCACAGTATCTGGTGAAGGCATTTCAATCAATATATGCACAATGAACACCATTTTAGCTCTTTTTCTTTCCTGGTAAAACATCTCCATCAAGTCCAGTTGAGTAGATCATTGATAAGTTTGAAGGGAAAGCATTATGAGTATGAAAGGGGACATATTGTGGCCTGCAACATCTGATCTAAGACCCAGTTTTTTTAAAATGGGGTTTCCTTTAAGAATTTTCAGGACTGACTTTTTGAAACCTTTATTTCTTAATTAATTTTATAACATTTTGCTTTTGTTACATGCTATCTTTCTCCCCTATTTTCCATTTTCATTTAAAAAAATATTGTATCTCACCGATTTATTAGCGGCAAAGCAACGATCAATCCAGGGCACAATCCATTCCTCTCGTGAATGCTTTTCAGAGCTCAGCAAGGAAATGGATTAGGCATGGATTACCTTGCGTACTGAATGTGGAAGGCAAAGTGCATACATTTAGGTGAAACCCCATCAGAAAAAGAAAGATATTCCATGACTACAATTGCATTTTTTAAATCGATCGTAATTGCTTGGTGAGGTCCCATGGGAGTATGCCATGAGATACAAAGATCCTGATGTAACGCAGCCTCTCCCTTGGATAAGAACCCATGCATTAAGTAACCAGAAATTCATCCAGGTACATGTGAAAGGTTCAATTCTGAAGTTACAGCCATGAGAAATTTGGGACTTTGGAATAGACTTCAATTTTTGATAAGTATGGGGAGAAAGCTCCATAAATTATGCTTGCCACTGGTGAATCTTCGTTCCTCTCCACAAACCAGAATAGGAACAGTGACACAGGGAAGAATACCTGTCCTGTGTGCCTAGTTCTAGATACAGAGGGAATTATTAAGTCAATGCAGCTGAAGTTCTGCAAACAATTTCCGAAGACAGTGCAACCATTCTAATCTCTAATGATTCCAATGAAGTATGGATGAGCTTAGAAAACTTCATAGATCATATCCCTTGAAGTTTCAAAGTATCCATATAAACAATTTTGAAGATGAAGGCTAGTGCCAGGCATGTCTTGGCACGTGAGAGGGGAGAAGGGAGAATGAGGAGGTAGACTTAGTGAAAACGCACAAGAGTTTCATTGATCTTTGTCATCTGCTGGCCATTTTAGGCACAATAACAGGAATCCCACTATTTGGTAACCAGTTCACCATGAAAGGCCATTTAGGTGTCATCTGAATCGTTGGTCATTCCATCACAACCTAGAGGAAAGCAGTTTCGTAGTCATTGGCAAGGATGGAGGCATGCAGGAGAAAAGTGGTTGACTGCTGCATGATTCGGCAGCCATTTTCCACAGTTGTCTTGAAAGATCTATGTAGAAAACCCAAATAATTATCCTCATTCTTAAGATAAAATGGTTCCAAGGTTCAAACTAACTAAAAATGAAAAAATATTCATGCTGACTTTCAAATGCCTTCCAAGAATTACCTTAAAATTTGAAGGCAGTTTTAAATTGGAGGCAATAACCATGCAAATATCCATGCTATTCATTTGTGTCTTTCCCAATAAATCAGGAATTGCAGATGTAAGGATGAGATAGGTCAGGCGCAACGAGACTAAAGTTACGCAAAATGCATTCCGCTCTCCAAATTTGTCAGAGCAACATCAATAATATTCCTTCAATATTTAGAAACTAAGGAATACAATGAGACAAATATAAAAAATTTTCTGGGAGAGATGTTGATGTTAGCCTCTGGAGAGACCTGCCCAAATCCTGACCCATGATAACCGGACTTTATGACTAAACTGGGATTTTCCCAAGGAGATATGGGCAGAAATCATGATGCTTCAGGCATTGACTCATTCCTGTTGACATTTCCGAAATTTGTGGTGATTTTACACACTAACACCCAAGGAGGCATAAGAGCCTGGTCAAATGAAGGTGGAGGCGGTAGTCCTACCAGAATCGCTCTGCTTGACATGAGAATTCCATGGGAAACCCATACGGAGATCTCTAATAAATGATAAATGTACCATGCAATCCAGAAACTTGTCTCCATCGAGTAATCAGAACATTCCACGTATTATGCTATGAAGACAGGAAAAAAAAAAACATGAAAAACCCTAGGGAGTAGCGTTTTTTGTCTACATTTCGTGCACATTTTGTTACCTTTCTTCTAAATTCCCTATTCAAGGCTCATGAGCTTTAGTATATAATTCAACCAAGAGGTATTTTAAAATTGCATGGATCTCAGTGGTCGAAAGTCGGGAAACTGTTTTGAAAATTCTAATTCTTCGTATTCTTCATATTATGGGTCCGTGGTCTTTGAATTTTGAAGTCAGCTTCAATCTTTACACCTCGTTTGAAATTTGATTGCTTCATCTTTCGATTTTGGTATTTTGGTGTCCATGTGGTGAACTGTTTCTGATTTGTGTTTTGATTCGACCTGTCAAATGCCAACCAAGCAGCAAATTTAGCAAGGACTCAACTAATGGTCGAAGGTGACAGAGCGACCACACTCAGTACTTCTCTCGGGACCCCATCAATATATTTATTTACAGATATTGAATCCCAGAGGATCGATTTTCTCCTTAACAATCTGAAGCATGCCATTTACCCATTGCACCCAGATTCCATAACTTTCTATAGGAGGAAGGCACTGAGCAAAATATGCAGAAGTTTCAGAAAAGGGAGATGTGTGGACATAGCCATATAAAGGCGGGGGTATACGTTGCCAAGCTTCTTTTTATGAACATTACATACTCAATTTATCATAATCTATAATAACACCCAACTCATGAACATCGTTACCCTTGGAGCCTTAGGCTGTGTACCACATGCACATCAACCTCGCGTCCCTTCCCAAAAAGTGGATTTTTTAGATGGATCATCGAACTTCAAAGGGGAATGGTTAGAGGAAACTATGCGCAACTCCAAAAAAAGATAGACTAGAATAGCCTCCAAAAACTGGCACATGCTTTTGTTGATAGAAAATTTCTAAGAGGAATGAGCGTGAAAAAACGGAAATTGGCGATGGAAAAACTCTCAGTTATTGCGCCATGGCGTCTTGAGAACGACAGTTACATGCACGTATTTATAATTCCCATTTATCTCTGTATGTCCCAAGGCAACTGGTGCAAATTTGATGTTTCTGCAACCAAGGGTTGGGGAGATACAGATTTTCGAAGAGAAGCATGCAAATCGTGATCAAGACCCTGGGCGTGACCTGAGAGAGCCAGCAATCGGCTCCAAGGCCCTTTATTGAGATCCCCTACAACAATAAAAATAAATTACAAAGTGAAACTTCAATCCAGGGGGGTTGATTTTTATATTCCCATAATACCTTAAATAATGAAAATACAGGTTAAGGAAATGTGAACATTTTTTAGTGCACCACACTGTACATTGATATACAGGGTGTTCCAAAATTATGGACACAAGGTTGTTAGTCAATAACCTTTGAATGGCTTGCAATGAAGAGGTGCAGTTTGAAGCATACTTTGGTGTGAGGCCTCAAGTTCATGTCGGTGCACACAAATTAATTTATTGACATTATTCTTTGTTTCTCGTTTCAGGTAAGTGAATTTCTCTGGTAGCACAATGACAACCATTCAAGGTAAAGCACAATGCATTTTATGGCAGGCAGAGTTCCATTCAGAGACAAAGGTCCAGTGAACATTTGGTGGAGTCAATGAAAAGAATGTTCCTACACATAAATCAATACTGAGATATGGAAAATACTATGTTAAGGACATTATTTACAAGGCATCAGTTCCAAATGTGGCGGCACTTCAAAATCGCATAACTGATGCAATTCCAACAATTAAACCAGATATGCTGGCACAGATGTGGGCAAAACTTGAATATTGGCTGGATGTTGCTAGAGCCACGAATGGTGCTCACGTGGAGGTGGTGTAGCAGATAGGAAGAATAAATCACTAGAAATGATGTTACACAATGTTATAATTTTTCTGTCCTTTTTTCTCATCAATAATGTTCCAAAGTTATTGAGTATCAAAAGTGTCTCAATTAATTTGTGTATGCCAACATAAACTCATGGCCTCACAAAAATATGCTTAAAAATTCACTTATTTATCACAAGCCATTGAAATATTATTGGCTAACAAAAATGTGTCAGTTTTGAAACACCCTGTATATTTGTATATTTTGGTTGCAGCTATTGAACGATGGCTAGTACAAGTTCATAGAGTATTGCCACATCACCAGCACCACTCTCATGGGCTCCACGTAGTCCTGATCTCTCCATATGTGACAATTCACTGTGGGGGCACATAAAGAAGCTTGTGGCAAAAGAGCATTACAGCACAACAGACGAGCTGAAAGCCACTGTTCGTGTAGCATTTGCCACTATCACAGTGGCCCAACTGGGACTAATGTCTCACAGGTCCTAGCACTGGTTAATGCTATGCTGAGACAACGATGGTGCGCATACAGATCTCCTGGGTAAACCATTGGGTATCTGGACTTATGGTCGACCTTGTTCATCAATCTGGAATTTCAGTTACAGCAGTGAAAGTATGTGGTGGAAGGTAAATTTGAATGATACTGGGTAACACCAAGCAGAATCCCTGGCAAACAACAGAAGTATGACTGGCTGTTGATGCCAAGTATGATGTAGCCTAGAGGGCATTTATGTCCAATAGGTTGAACCCTACAAAGGCTTGTTACAGATAGGCCTCAAAAGTGCTGCTCGAGCCATAGCTGTACCCCATTCTGGGCCTACCTGTTGTTAAGGATAGTTTCTCCACTGAAGGAATTCAACTAGCAATCACGTTGCCACAGGGCTTCAATGGCCAAAGTGAGCAATTGATGAAATCCAGCCAGTGGCACTGAAAACAATGGAAACCAATGGGTGTAAATGGTTGCATAGAGTATGTCAAACTGCATGGGAATCAGGGACAGCTCTTGTGGATTGGCAGACTCAGGTAATGGTCCCGCTCTTTAACCCTTTCCTGGTTATGAGGGGCATTTAAATTCTACACAGGCTGGTCAGACCATTTAAACCTGGATTATGAATATTTCTTTGCCCCAAAACCAAGTATCAAATGTTCTTTACATTCTGTGAAAGTTTCAAAGTGGTATCCTCACTAGTTACTGAGCAAAATGGATTTTACTTCTGGTAGGAAACAAAAATGACAAATATTGGAAAATTGCATTCAAACGTTCATTGTCCTTTCAAAGTGAATCACGACATAGAGCACAAATACAGTTACAAACAGCATGCAAAAACCATCAGAGACATATTCTTCATCATGACAATCTACTGCCATGGCCTGCTGGATTCTTTTTTCTTCTTCATGGAATTCCAAATGTGCTTAGCACTTACTTGTAATAATCCTTGTATCCAGCATCTGTCCTAATGGTACAGTCCAGACTTGGTGAAACATCCAGGACACAGACCAAGAATGTCAGAGGTACACGCTCTGAAACTTTCCCTGTCATTGTAGATACAAGTAGCATCAGCTTCTTCAATTTCTTGTCACCCTTACGATTAGTAGACCTTGTGCCAAGTGGACACACTACATTGTGAAGCTTTGGTCATGCAAGGCTTGGTATACTACCTGCCCAGCTTGAGCCATGACCACATGAAGTTTCTTTGAGTGCTTGAAAAATATATTTATGGGTGTTTACACAGGGAGATTATTCCTATATATGGCTGAAATAAGTTCAGTCTTAACTTTGAAAGGACAACCCTCGTACATCGAACTGGATGATAGGTAACAGGTTGCAAATTTTTTTTTTACATAGTAACTTTGTAATTGTACTACAATGGTAATTCAAAACAGTAGCTAAAAATATGACATCCCAACCCATTTTTTTCATTCTGCATAGAATAAATACTAAAAAATTTCCATCAGCAGTTCATCTATACTTCAATGTAGATGGGCCAATTCCATGTTACATAACCAATGATCTTCAAAAGACATCAGAAAGATTTTTCCCTTCTAGGTGGTTTCCAGTGCAATTGTGGATAAATACATTGGAGAAAGTGCCCGTCTCATTCGAGAGATGTTCAACTATGCCAGGGATCATCAGCCATGTATCATCTTTATGGATGAAATTGATGCCATTGGTCAGTTACTGGGACAGTTTATATTTCTTCTATCATCAGTGGATGCAAAATTTATAGTGAAGGTATCATGTAGGCGGAAGGCGATTCTCTGAAGGGACATCGGCAGACAGAGAGATTCAGAGGACACTCATGGAGCTCCTGAATCAAATGGATGGATTTGATGCTTTGGGACAGGTGAGGTCATGAGAATTAGTTATTTCTCTGTGTGCACTCTTCTCATGGGAATTGCTATTGGAACTGCAGTAATTTGTTCAGATGCTCCAGTGACCACACCTTTGGATTTGGATTACATCAGTTGCAGATCATGTTGAAGCATTCTCCCTTGCTTGTAGAGATTCTTGAAATTCCAAAACTCAATGAAGTTAGCCCAGTTTTGAACTCAATACCAAATTGTATTACATTTATGTGTATCATTGGGTGACAGTTATTTTGTTCTTAGTCCAGATTTGAGATTTTTAACCATGGGGTTTTAATAAAAGCAAAGCTTTTAGGTCATTGACCTTGACCTTTGACCTTGAATTTCAGAAAAGAAGGTAACTTCTTTCATTTCTATATCTCAATCTCCTCTCTGTTGATTCATCACATTTCAATTGGGGATTGCAATGGGTTGAAGAGATGAACAATTTAAAAAAATGAGGCAATAAAAATTGTCATGCAACTCTCAGTCTCTGAGAGAACTACACATACAGAGTGCCCCAATAGGTATGGAAACATGCTTAAAAAAGTTAATATCTCTCTTATGTATGCCTCAAAATAAATTATTAAAGCATTAAAATAAAGAGCAGCTCAAGCATTTTTTACCTGTTATTGCAATTCCATGTGAGGACCATTTGTTATCATGCAAATGTCCAAATGATGCTCAAATTCTTGCCACACCTTATGCAGAGTGTTAGGTGTAACTGTATATATAGCTGCGATGATCCTGTTCTTCAAATCTTGGAGATTATGAATTCATGCTCAAAAGTCAAGGGCAATGTTCTTGACCTTCATTTTCATAAAAACTCCATGAAGTCCATGTAATGACTTCGAAAAGACTCCAAAAAGTTACAACTTTCAGCTCACTAAGACAATTAGAATAGAACTTATGGGTACATGTGTGTGATGACCACCTGACCTGAAATTGATCCTTGGCAGCATTCAAATAGACAATTAGAATAGCAGAGGAGGTCAGGTATATGGCTTTGCTGATTTGATATGGAATGGAACCTAAGGTGAAATTGAATGTGACAAGGAAAAGTAAAAATCTGGTATCTGAAGAGTTCTTGCTTTGGTAAGAAAAGGTCTTGAAGTTGCCATTAGATCAAAGAAATGTTGGGATGGAGCTTGAAGGATGTTATTTGGGCTGAAGTGACAGGAAGCTTGGTGCATGCTGGAGAGGGCCTTCAAATATGCTGTTTGAAGTATGTTAAAATGCCCCAACATTGGCTAAGGGCATGCTGAGACTCAAAATATTTCAACATTTTATCTTTACTAGTCCAAGGTAATTCTTAAGCATGTACATTCATTAGGCAAATATCATTTTCTCCTTTTAAATATGAGTCTTTGAAATGGTATAGTGAATTATGGGATTGTATTGGTCTGGGTGGCATTTCCTAGTAGCAGCCTTCAGCCTGAAGACTGAGTTCGTAGGTCCCTTTTCAGCCACATTATGTGGAATGCTCATCATATAGTATTGTCTCCCAAAACCCTGCTTTCTAAGAGATTCGTTGAAAAAAATAACAAAAATCGATTGCAAAAAATAGTTTTGCATTTGTCAACCTCTGCAGCCTACTACAGACATTGAAAATCACAAGGCTTTTCCTTTTGCAGAAAGGATTGGGTATGCATGATATCACTGCTGAGTGGGAGGAATATGAGTGAATGGTATTTTCCTTGAGGAAGCAAGTGAAGAAGGCTGTATCTGTCACCTTGTATATGTATGCAAGAGCATTTTTTCTGGCTTTGTAGGTAAAAATAATAATGGCAACAAATCGACCAGACACACTGGATCCTGCACTCCTGCGACCTGGGCGACTTGACAGGAAGATTGAGATTCCATTGCCAAATGAACAAGCTAGGCTGGAAATACTGAAAATTCATGCTTCCCCCATCACCAAGAAGGGTGATATTGGTGAGTTCAGATGGGAATCCTTAGTTTCTTCATTATGCATGAGGTTACTTCACTATGAAGTGTGATGATCTAGAGAATTTCCTATTTACCCCTAGATTATGAAGCGATCGTGAAGCTGTCAGATTCATTTAATGGAGCTGATCTGAGGAACGTCTGCACAGAAGCCGGTCTCTTTGCCATCCGAGCTGAGAGGGATTATGTTGTTGAAGAAGATTTCATGAAGGCAGTTCGGAAAGTTGCTGACAACAAAAAGCTGGAGTCCAAATTGGACTACAAGCCTGTGTGAACATACAGAATTTTTTCAATTGACCCATTTCATGAGTCACATTTGGAATTCTTTCTCTTCTGGATTGAGGCTTTGAATGAAGTACACTACCAACTCTGTAATGATTGCTTATAGTGTTTCTGAGATAGTGGGACAATATCAGCTGAATGTGATAGTTGGGTTTTATACTTTTCATGCTTGTTTTCCACATTGAGAATTCGAACATTTGTAGCTCATATGCCCCAGGACAAAATCTTGTGACCTGTAGTGGTCAAAGTTTGAGGCCATACGAGGTGCGACAAAGTTTCGAGACTCAGCCCATAAAAACTGATAGAAATGAGATACAAGAAAAGTTGTTTTAATCGCCTTCAAAGTAATCACCTCTGGCCTCAACACACTTATTCCACCTTTCTAAAAGCTTTAAAATACACATTCTCTATTACTGTCACATTCTGTTTGATGTCATCCTCGAATGCCTTTGAGTGCATTTTTTAGCTTAGGAAAGAGGAAGAAGTCGACTGGAGCGAGATCGGGAAAGTAAGGTGGGTGGTTGATCTCCACCACGCCGCCTTTCGCCAGGAAGCGCTTCACAATCAGGGCGGAATGAGCAGGCGCATTGTTATGCAATAGGAACCAGCTTCCTGCCTCTCGAAACTGCGGCCTCACTCGAGCAATCCGCTTCAACAACCGGTCTAGAACTTGAACGTAGAATTCACTATTCACTGTCTGTCCTTCAGGCACGAATTCCTTTTGGATAACACCACGTTTGTCAAGAAAAGTGATAAACATTGTATTGACTTTCGATTTTTCAAGCGGAACTTTTTTTGGCCTCGGCAAGTTCTTCGTTCGCCATTCCATGCTCTGCCTTTTGGTTTCAGCGTTGTACCGAAACACCCACGACTCATCCCCGGTAACTATACAATTGAGAAAGTCAGGATTGCTCTCACAAGTCTGGATGAAATCTTCACAAGTTGCGACTCTGCTCTCCTTTTGCTCATCCGTGAGACTGTGCGGAACAAACTTCGCACAGACCTTCCGCTTTCCCAAATCTTCATGCAAAACTTGATGAATCGTCTCCCTACTTGTGATCAGTTCATCCTCCATTATTTTCAGACTCAATCGACGATCCCTGGCCACCAGTTCTCGAACATTTTCGATTGTTTCTAGATTTCGATCAGTTGACGGTCGCTCGCTCCTTGGATCTTCTTCAAGATCCTCACGCCCATCTCGGAATCGTTTAAACCATTCAAATTCACGAGCTCGAGACAGGGCATCATCTCCATACACTTTTTTAAAAACCATTTCGTACGTTTCTGAAGCGGTTTTTCCAAGTGTAAAACATAACTTGATGTTAGCTCGCTGCTCCATCATAAAAAAATCTGACAACGAAGAAAAACACTAGTTACGCACGACGCTGCTACAGATCACATGACTAAGCTAGAACTTTATTTTTTCTCACTGTTGATGGTCATTACATGCACTAGTTGTAACTGGTTCAATCCAGTTTCTGCGCAGCCTACAACGCCCAGGTGTGGAGTCCTCGTGCCCATGGATGAGCAGAGGGGAAGAGTCCCCGAGTTACTACGCCGAATAGTAATAGCGGACCTCCTCTCGCCCCTTTACGCCCTCACCTCTGCCCCACGCAGCAGTCCGTCTTGAACCTCCGGCCGGACAGCACGCAGCAGTCCGCCTTGAACCTCCGGCCGGACAGCACGTGCGAGTCCGTCACGAACCCTCGGCCGGACAACACGTGGGCGCGTGAGTGCGCCAGGACCCTTCGGCCGGACAACACGTGGCGTGTCGAGCCACGCAGCCTGACCCTCACAGCCGGTCAACTCAGCGAGTCCCGAACTGCGTGCTGGTCTGTATAGCGAACTGCTGTGGACTCATCACGAACCGACGACCTGGATCACGGTCGGCGGCCAGGAACCAACAAGAGAGATCTGAGACTTCGCTTCTCCCTCGCTAATTTACCATCTATAAGAACACGCAACCTTCTTGATTACCATCCGACCACCTTGGGTCTGATCCCCATATGTAGCGAGGCATTCGTGCCCCATATATTGTGACCCCCTGGGGTTCGCTACACAGGATAGCACAAGTCTCGGAACTTTAATGTCGCACCTCGTATAGCTGCATCCATTCAAACAGCTGATCAAGACCCACCTGGCGTTCTACAGGGAGAGTCAAAAGTCCTGCCCATATTTTGAACGTTAACTTCTCAACGCTTGATCTCATGGAGATGCGGTTTTCACCATTCGAAAGGCAAGACAATTCTATAAATGAGGAAGGAATTTTGCATTATTTTTCCAATGGAAATGAAATTCCTGTTCTTAGGTCATATACTGTAAATGCATTGGCACCCAAAAAATGCGTGCAGCACTGTGTCTAATTTTCTGTTCGACTGTCTGAGGGTGTCCAGATCGGGAAGATCTGCTACGTTTCCTGTCCTGTCAACATTTGAGTTGGTACGAGTAAAAACTTGCGGCTGACCGTTTCTACGATGAATTTCTTCCTGAATTGTGGAGCGGTTTTTGTCGCATTAAGAGTAAAATCGAACTTTTGCAACTCGCTTATCATTGGTCAATCGTTTATTAGTCATTTTCCTCAATCCTCCATGAATTGGAATTGATTACAGCCAAGACACAATAACTCTCTCATTCGAACAGACAATTGGATGCGGTGCCGCAAGGTGTGTTTTCACGTGTCAATGGCTTTGTATAGCCCCCAGAATAGTTATTTAATTTCCGAATGATACCATTAGCAAAGTAATGCGAAAATCCTTCATTCGATACTAAATTGTCTATCGAATGGCGAAAACAGCATTTATCTCGATGAGATCAAGCGCTGAGAAGTTATTCATGTTCAAAGGGTGGGCAGGACTTTTGACTCATCTTGTATATGTAGGACAGTTGGCAGAGATGCACACTATGAACTTTGACATTTGGGTTAATACACACTATGTAGAAGCCTCGTTGAATAATTAGGAAATGTTAGGGGCAGGGCCGTTTCTAGGTACATTGGTGCCCAGGGCAGGGAGTTCCTATGGCGCCCCCTCCCCCCCAAACCAACTGGGGCGCGAAGCACCATCGCAACTCTGGCGATAAGGGCCTTGCCCCCGGAAGCTGACAGGAGTCGGAACTGATGGAAATTATTTTGTTACATTTGTAAACAAAAAAACAAAAAAAAAAAACAAAGCCAAATCAAGGCATTTGCTATCAAAGGTGCTATCTATCCACACGAACACATCGTAATTTAATTCTCTTATGATGTGAGAGATTAACTCAACAGCTCACTCTGGGCAAACAGTTTCAGTTTTTTAATTGTAAGGATACCAATACTTTTATATTACAAAATTCTATTATGACACTGATTTTAAAAAAATCTAATTTAATAGGACACACTCATACTGTAGTCAAGGTGTAATCCTAACTCTTGGATACTGCCAAAGGATTCAATCTTTAATTCAGTCAAAAGCGGAGGTTTGACTTCCGTCGTTTCTTGCCTCAATCGGGGCACGGAATAATTTCACGCTTGTGATAGGGGAGAAGGTGAAACCTTCGCAACGAGTAATGAAGGCTACCATGCCTCTAACTTTCGACAATGACATCCATTCATCGATGGATGCATCAGGACGACCCTAATTTTTTCTTGCTAGCGTTGAGAATCAGTTGCCAAGCGCGTCTTTTTTTCTCGCTTTTTCTTCGTTCTACACGGTCTTCTTTGGACATCGGCACCGGCAAATAGCAAACCTGCCGATGGTGCCATACCGGCGTTTACCGAAACATCGGTACAGCCCTAGATTCAAGCGACGTCCATGTAAGTAATTCACTTTGGGTCAAGTTAAGAGGTAAAATGCCCCAGGGCAAGTTTTAAAAAGAATAAAGCCTGCATACTGAAGAGGAAGACAGGAATATAGAGAGGGGGATTAACCGATGTACGTTTCGAAATAAAGGGAATAAAAGAACAGTCCACTTTCACAATAAAAATTACATGAAAACGTGGCTCCTAGGAATATGCCCCCACAAGGCATGGAACTTAAATGTTACATTTTTCCTGAACTCATCGTCTCGGTAGGCATGTCCATGCCAAGTTTCAGCTTTCCATGCCTCTCCGCTTTACTCAAGCAAAAATAATGTTATGAAGGGGGAATGAATAAAGGGACATGGAAGGCAAAAGAAAGCCAAGGAATGGCCGGGAATTGAACCCAGACCTTCTGATTGCCGGTCAGATATGCTACTACTACATCACTGAACCCAGGACATTCAGTGGGCTCTCTGAGTGACATCCTCATCTGTCACAATATATATTCAAGAAAAACGTTTACCCCCAAAATTTGTACCCCCAGGGCATGTACCTCCAAAGTCGGATTTTTTCTGAACTCTGAGGCTTAGACTCTCCTATTATTTAAAAATTTTCTATATCCTCCCTTCGTTCTGACTCGATGGTTGATTTCAGCTTTGTCGTATTCCAGTTGAGGTTGAACTGCAGTCTTCCATTGTTTCCGTTGCGTGGAACTTTCAGCCGAGCTAGACGATGACTGGACTGAGATGTATAATCAGCAGTGCGGATGATCGGACCTTCACCGTCAGGTATATCCATGCGTCTGACATGGAAGCCATCGAGATTACCAAGTGCCGCAATGCTATGAAGGAGAGCGCAGAATATTTTCATGCAACCGAGACTGCCGCCATGCATGGTGTTCGGGAATCGTTTCACGTGAAGGATATGGCAAAAGATCCATGATCCATGATGACTGGTCGAGGTTTATCGAAATGATACTTTCCATCATTTTATAGGGATTCTGGATGACCTCGCGTTCCTGCCACTTTCTACGGTGATAGGAAGTATGCAGTTCTTCTAGAGGCCCTACTATATTTTGGTGTGCAACTCATGGAGGCAAATTTTATTGCTACAGCAGAAGCAAGCAGCAACATGGAGCTACATGTTATGGAATCTAATGACATGTCCAGTTCCACGAAGGAAAGATTCCAAAGTAATTGTTCCGTTCGCATATTTGGAGCATAGGGTTTGCAACCGCTTTTCCGTCGTGTGATACACCCTCCGAGCTCTCTTCTTTGGAGGAAGTCCTGCAGAAGTCTGCAGTATAGCTGTAGATATTGATCCTTGTTCAGATTGCAGGACATCAATTGCCTTCCAAATGCTGGGATGCTGATGTCCCACCATACGAGAGAACTTGTGGTTCTATCCCTCAGCTTTGTTGTTTGTCCGGTCGCTGCCAGTAAATGTTGCCTCATGGAGATTCCGACACTCGGGGGAAACCTTGGAGCACATCGCCGCAATTGCAGGTTTCCTTGAGACGTGTTCACTCTACGATACGGGCCGCTGACATCCAAATACCATCGAAATAGGATACCAGTGTCTCGGGTGCAGGTGGCAGGTGGCG